TTACCGTGCTGTGATATCGACAGGAGGGGTTTCTCTAACAGGTCACCCTTGTGTTAACAATACACTCCTGACCACAGCTTGCAATTTTGGTATAGGAGAGATCTTTAGCACACTTTCCTCAACATTTTTTTTTTTGAGATTAGGTCTCAGGTAGCCCAGAATGGGTCTCATATTGCCCAGGCTGGCCTCAAACCAGATACCTAGCTGAGAATGATCCTTTTTTTTAATTTAAATTTTTTTTTAACTTTATGTGCATGAGTATATTGCCTGCATGTGTGTAAGTGCACCCATGTTGTGCAAAGCCTGAGGTCAGAAGATGGCATTGGATCCCCTGGAACTAGAGTTACAGACAATTGTTAGCTGCTATGTAGGTGATGGGAATTGAACCCAGGTCCTCTGTAAGAGCAACCAGTGCTCTTAACTGATGAGCCATCACTCCAGCCCCAACTGAGGATGATCTTGAACTATTGCACCTTCTGCCTCTACCTCCTCAGTACTGGGATTACAGGAGTGTGGGGATTACAGGTGTGTGCCACAAAGGCAGGCTCCTTTTCTTTTCTTTTTTCTTTTCCTTCCCTCCTTCCCTCCCTCCCTCCCTTCCTTCCTTTCCTTCCTTTCCCTCTTTTTTGGTCTTTTGGAGATAGGGTCTCCCTGTAGCTCCAGCTGGTCTGGACTCCAGCTGGCCTTGATCTCACAGAGATCTGCCTGCCTCTGCTTCCCTAGTGATGGGGATAAAGGCTGTGCACAACCGCACCTGGCTGGGGCTCCTTTCTTTACTTAACAGTGAGGTCATTCTCCACAAGGAAAACTAGCTTCCATGTTGTTTGTAAGAAGGGTTGCTAGACGGCTTGCCTCGCTTGCACAAAGCCTTGGATTCAATCCCCAGAACAACAACCAAAAAAAGTAGAGTCTCTCTGGAAAAAAAAAGATCGCAAAACATTAAATCAAGTGGAAGTGCTGGGTACAATATTCCTCCTAATCATATTTTAAAATAACATTATTGGACTGGAGAGATGGCTCAGCAATTAAGAACACTTGCTATTCTCCAAAGGAGTCAGGTTTGATTCCTAGGGCCCGATGGCGGCTAACAATCATCTGTAACTCCAGTTCTAGGCGATCCAACACCCTCTTCTGGCCTCTGTGGCCATTGCATGCACGTGGTATACTTCCATACATACAGGCAAACACTCATACACATAAAATAAAATAAATAAAATATTTTAAAATAACATCATTTTACAAAATTGCAATAGTCCCTACTATGATCTGAATTTAGACACCATTTAATGACAGAAATTTGTTGAAAAATGCCTCTTTAGGGGACTTCTTTATTGTGTGAACATCAGAATATACTTAAAGAAGCCTAGATATTCTAGCCTACTACCTATCTGGACTTCATGGTATTGACACTGCTCCTCAGCTACAAACCTACAATGGTAAGTAGCTGTGTGGATCTAAGCAAAGACAAAGTATGGCAACGATATAGTATAAAATAATTAAAAATGGGGTCAGTGAAATGGCTGAGCAGGTAAAGGTGCCTGTTGCCAAGCCTAAGGACCTGAGTTCAATCCTTCAATCCCTAGAGCTCACACAGTAGAATGAGAGAACCAATTCCCAGACACTGTTCTCTGACCTCCACATGCAGACCATGGTGTATACACACACACAGAGAGAGAG